AGAGAGAGACAGAGACAGAGGGGGGGAAAAGCTCAACCACACTAATAATCTTTAAAAGGCAGATCAAAGCAAATATAGATAATGTTTGGAACATCTGGCCTTGGAATTCTATTAAAAATGAGGTTGGTCTCTAAATGCTGATATAGAAAGATCTCCAGGTGGGTGAAACTTAGGTGCACATAACAATCCGCACACAGAACAGAAAAGCAAGGTGATGATACATGCTCAGTGTCCAAATTATGGGAAATTCAGAAACCTTTAAAAAGATAACAAAAATCCACGTATAATCCCAAAACCCAAATGTAACCTCTCTCATCTCACGGTTATAACGGGTCTCCTTTCATTGTTTTTTCTATGCGTGTGAGTGTGGCCGGCATGAACTGTACCACCACATCAGGATGCCTTTAAGATCCTTTTCAAAAATAAAGGAAACTGAAATTAGCTCTAGCCTCTAACTACTGAATTAGCCCCTAACCTCCGTTTTGGAACTCCCCCCCTCTCCTGGACTGCGCAGGACGCTGGGGTTTCTGTAGCACACAAAACAGCCCTGTGGACAGGCCAAAGGGTCCTCTTCAGCTCTGACTGCGGCTGTATCTGCAACTGCTCCTAGTTACACCACAAGGTGTCACTCTGCGCACCCTCAAATCCACCTGCCCCTGTGGGCCAGTCTTCAGACACTGGCCTGTGAGATGCCTGGGGGGGAATTCCACTCCCACAGCACCGCCTGGGTACCAGGCCGAGGGTTCCCACTCTGCTTATGTCTGTCTAACTGCCTACTATGTGCTGACCAGCAGCAAGCAGGATACAGAAGCTTAACTTACTGCGTCCTCATGAAAAGTAATTAAAATAACTTTTTAAAATCTCTGATCATTGGATAAGTGAAAAATATTTTTTTGGCCAGATTATAAATGCTTTATTATTACTATTACTATTATTACTGTTACTATTTCTATTACTATTACTATTGCTATTGTATGGTGGGTATTTGGCCACTGGGTGCTTTTATTGACTAAGAGTTCAGTTTCAGTCTCTCTTTTCTTTTTAATTTTTTTTTTTCAATCTTCACCAAGGATATTTCTTCCATTGCTTTTCAGAGAGAGTGAAAGGGAGAGAAAGAGAGGGAGGGAGAAAGAGAGAAATATCAGTGTGAGAGAGACACATCAGTTGGTTGCCTCCCACGTGCACCCCAACTGGGGCCAGGGACGGAGCCTGCAACCGAGGTACAAGCCCTTGGCCAAAATTGAGCCCGGGACCCTTCAGTCCATGAGACAAACGCTCTAACCACTGAGACAAACTGGCCAGGGCTCAGGCTCTCTTTCCGATAGAATGTAAATATATACCTACACATGTCTCTACGTAATTGTTATCAAATTAAGCTTAGTCACTAAAAGAAGGTTCGCTATCTGAACTTTCTGTATTTCTTTCACCTTGGCCATCAGGCCCTGGCGCATCTGGCCTCTCACAAAGACCTGGGTCTGGTCCTTCTGATATCTTTTTGTTCCTGTTCCCATCACTGGAGCCATTCGGGGATGTCCGGCGTATCTAGGATCCTTGGCTACAGTTAAGATGTTTTCTGATGTTACTTCACTTTCCTGAGGTCCAGAGCCTTGTAAACTGTTCCTCTGTGCGGGCCGGTGTGGCTCAGTGGTTGAGCGTCCAGCTGTGTATGAACCAGGAGGTCAGGGTTAGATTCCGTCGGGGCACAGGCCCGGGGTGCGGCTGGATCCCCAGTGGGCGCCTTGCCGGGGGCGGGGCCCGGCGGCGGCGGGAGGAGGTGCCCGGCTCCCCCGCGGAGGCCGGTGGAGGCCAGGTCCCGGGAGAACAGTGTCCGATCCCCGCGCTCAGCGCCGCAGAAGCGGCCCCCGCAACCGGGGAGCTGGAGAGTGGGGCTGAGCACTTGTCCCGGTGCAGAACCGTGCGCCGGAAGGGGAGGGGCTCGGAGTCCGTGAGAGTGCCCGCTCAGGACTACATGTCCCAGGAGGCACCGCGGTGATTGAGCGCTCGGCCAGCCTATGGATGGGGGAAATGCCTTGTCACCGAAACCGAGGAGCCAATGGCAAGAGGGCGTGGGCGGCGTCTTCCGGCGGCCGGCTCTCCGACCGCCAGGTCCCACCTGTGTCTCCACGGAGCTGTCACGAATCCCGCCGGGATCCCGGTAGGGACGCGCTCGCGGCGGGCCTGGGGCGGCGGGGCGGGGCGGACCCTCCTCCCTGCTCCCTCCCCGGCTGGGCCCCGGGGCGGT